TTGTGAAATATTTTGGTCATATTTTCACTCTTTTTGACTTCTAATTACATCCATTTGACCCCTAGCATTCTCGAATCTTCATCGTGAGTTTCGGCACAAATTTTGAGTGTTTATATTTTAGTCCCTAAACTTTGGATCTTGCCATTTTTCACTTCTTTTTTCAAATTCTTCATCAAACATAAAGTTTTACCTATAAAAATGCAATATAACATAAATTATATAGAATTTTATCCAAAAAAACAATAAAATATCATCATTTAGGCCTAAAATAAGTGTACAAACTACACTTATCAGGCTTCTTTTGCATAGGAAAAAATTCCTATTTTCTAAATGAGGCTTTTAGTAGTTCCTAATCCAGAAAAACAGTCCACTAAAATTTGAGCATTCCTATTTTCTAAATGAGGCTTTTAGTAGTTACTAAGCCAGAAAAACAGTCCACTAAAATTTAAGCAAAATCATTTGGTAAATTACTAGGTGATTTTGTTTAATATTCTATTTCTTAAACAATATAATTTTATATCAATGTATATTTTTACTTTGTGAGCTATATATCTTTTAGTCATCCTGTGCCTAATAATCCACACTATGGCGATTATACAACTACTTTGAGTGACATGTATTCACTCGAAAAGGAACATCTTTTTGGGTCGATAATGTATTAAATCCAACATACCGTCGTCGAAAGAGCTAATCTTCTTTTAATGAGCAGTAAGCCTACAACAAAGCATTTTATGGTTTTTGGATGGTTATGTTTAAACATGGGCGTGTACAGATGAAAGCTAAGTAGAAGAAATTATGAAAATTAGTGAATGGAAAGTGATTGCCATATTAATTCATGGTGGTGACGTTGGCTTTTATCCCATTCCCATGCCTGCCCTCTTCTGTTTCACTAAAACATACCCTTTTCTAGCTTCTCATCCTCTCCAAAAACACATCTATTTTGGGCTTCCATTTTTCACCTGTAGAGGGGACCTTCCACACTATTTGTTTACACATAATTTCTCTACTTGTACATCTTATTTGCAATATGATTGGACATATCAAGTGTAAAAGAAAATATATATTAAATCCGACGCAATTGATCATTACCGATGACCACACCTAGGAGATCGAAATCCTATCAGTTATTTGATTATATTACTTATACGTGGATCTTAATTATAAGCATACTTAGACCCAAAATACATTTTAACTCAATTTGTCTGCATTTCAGTTTTCGGTCGATAGAGCGATTCTACTGATCCAAAGTAGTAAAGGCTTCCAAGTAAAACAATAGTTGTGAAGCCCTCGTGACTTTGGACAAAATCCCTTCATTTTAAAGCTCGAATAAATGATCGTTTTCTTATTTTCCGAAATATATGTAAACTCTAGATTTTTATAAGAATTAATTTCCAGACATCTTGCATAAGGTTTTATTTCATGAGATTTGCACAACTATCAGTTTATTAATTAAATTGCGTACTTCTTTTCTTCATTTTTCAAGTTCGAGTATTCTTCACAAATCAACAAATGTGGATAGTTTTCTCTATATTCATAACTGAGAACAACAAAGTAAGTTGGTGAAAATATTTGGATGGTCAAGAAAGAGTTACTTTTTGAAAAAAAAACATGAACCCTAACTTACTTTTCCTCTTTCCAGCTTGGCCAAACATGCTCAAAAAATCATATACATCATGAACCCTCATTTATTAGCCAAATATCGATTTCCATAAAGGGAAAGGCATCATAGCACTGACACCCAAAAGTTTATTGGGAACATGCAAAGGAACAGATATGTTGGAAACCGATATATATCCCTTCCAATTGTACAGACCAAAATACCATTGCAAGTATGACAAGCCAAAACGTACTAGGACTACCAATTTATACTCCCTTTATGCTACACAACAGTATAATATACTGTGTAGTCTTAGTGTGTGTGTGTGTGTGAAACAGAGAGAAATATTCTTAAATGTTCTCTCCATGATATCATATGAATTGTCCTGTATCGTTCTTTTTTTGTATAGAAATTTAATGATTTGTGGGAAGACTGATTAAACTTGGGTTTAAATCTTGCATTCGAAGTACTGAAATATCCTATGTAGTTCATTACCTTTAATCATTGCCCTTTGCTTCTTGGAAAAACGAGCCTAATCAATGTAATCCAACCAATTTTGGTTCAGTTGAAAGCATAGCCCAAGGTGAGACTATTGTTACCCCTCGATTTCGAGGACAAAAGCCGCAAGGCCACGTAGGCAGGATGGTCAACAAGAAGTCAAGATGGGGCCCAGTAGGTCAAAGACCCCATTAAGGCATTAGGCCGAAGTTGTATGCCACGCACCTAATGTCAAGGACCCCTGAAAGATAACGTGGGCTTCAGTCCAGGGAGCCTCGGGTTGAAGACCCTCATGTGACTGACCTCAGGCTGATGCGCTCCCTCAAGGCACGATTCGATCCGAGGCTACTACAAGGTCCTTCGACACCCATAAGCCAACGTCACCTCAACAGATTCGAAGATTTCTCTGAACTGATTGATGGGACGCCTGTAATAAAAGTGTCAGTAAATCTTCCAGGGTATTATTAGCCCACTTTTAGTGCGGCTGACTTCCATCAGATATTAAATGTGATAAATGAATGTGATGTGAAGGTTCAGTTTAGAAGATGTTGCCGCGTGGATCTGATCCGACGATCAATACGTCGTTTGGACAGTATAAATAGTCTTCTTTTGTATAGAAT